CTACAGAAGGATAAGGGACTACCTGGGAGAAGTGCAGTAGGAGGAAGAACTTAGAGGAAAAACAGTGCAAGGTATGATGAACCAAGTCATATTGAAATGCAAGGAGGCTGAAGAGAGATTTATTCCAACAATAAAGGAAAAAAGCAGGAGGGAATATAATAACCCATGGTTTAATAGACAGTGTCAGGAAGCAAAGGTGAGAAGCAGGAGGGAGTGGAGGAAGTACAGAAGACAAAGGACAGAGGACAACAGGATTAGATGTAACAGAGCTAGGAATGATTACATTAACATAAGACGAGTGTCGGAAAGAAATTATAAGATCGATATTGCAATTAAAGCGAAAAAGCAACCGAAATTACTACATATTCATATTAGAAGGAAGATGTCGGTAAATGACCAAGTGACAAGACTGAGGAAAACAGAAGGGGCATATACAGAAAGCGACAAGGAAATCTGCGAGGTACTGAATGCAAAATTCCATGGAGTGTTCACAACCGAGCCTGAGCAGCTCCCATTGTTAGAAGAGATTACCCAAGATGAAAGACTATCAGATATAGAGGTGACAGCAGAGGAGGTAATGAAACAGTTGACAACACTGGATGCAAATAAAGCTGTTGGACCAGACAAAGTATCACCGTGGATACTTAAAGAGGCAGCGCAGGCTCTCAGCGTGCCTCTGGCAATGATCTTTAATGAGTCACTTATGTCGGGAGAATTGCCCAGTTGCTGGAAGGAGGCAAATGTCGTACCGATTTTCAAAAAAGGTGATAGGGAGGAGGCACTTAACTACAGACCCGTATCACTGACAAGCATCCCCTGCAAAATACTTGAAAGAATAATTAGGCTAAGACTTGTTGAGCACCTGGAGAGCATTGGGTTTGTAAACAAACACCAACATGGGTTCTGGACAGGGAAATCATGCCTAACAAACCTTTTAGAATTCTATGATAAAGTAACAAGGATAAGGCAGGACAGAGAAGGCTGGGCAGACTGCATATTTCTTGACTGCCAAAAGGCCTTTGATACAGTACCGCACATGAGACTGCTATACAAACTTGAGAGGCAGGCAGGAGTAAGCGGAAAGGTCCTAGTATGGGTGAAGAACTACCTAACAGGAAGGAGCCAGAGGGTAATGGTAAGGGGCGAGAAGTCGGACTGGCGAACAGTAACAAGTGGAGTACCTCAAGGATCGGTGCTGGGACCAATTCTCTTTCTAATTTAAGTAAATGATATGTTTACAGGAGTGGAATCATACATGTCAATGTTTGCGGATGAAGCAAAATTAATGAGAATCATTGTGACAGACGAAGATTGTAGGATCCTCCAAGAGGACTTAAACAGGTTGCAGAGATGGTCAGGGAAATGGCTACTGGAGTTTAACACCAGTAAATGTAAAGTTATGGAAATGGGATCAGGTGACAGGAGACCAAAGGGACAGTACACAATGAAGGGGAACAGCCTACCTGTAACGATTCGAGAAAGAGACCTGGGAGTGGATGTGACACCTAATCTAACTCCTGAGGCACATATAAATAAGATAACGACAGCAGCGTACCCTACACTGGCGAAAATTAGAACTTCATTCAGAAACCTAAATGAGGAGGCTTTTAGGGCGCTTTACACTGCCTACGTGAGACACGTCTTAGAGTATGCCGCGCCATCATGGAGCCCCCACCTGAAGAAACACATAAAGAAATTGGAGAAGGTTCAGAGGTTTGCGATGAGGCTTGTCCCAGAGATACGAGGGATGGGATATGAAGAGCGTCTGAAGGAACTGAACCTTACGACACTAGAGAAAAGAAGGGAGAGAGGAGATATGATAGGGACATATAAAATACTCAGGGGAATTGACAAAGTGGGAATAGACGAAATGTTCACACGTAATAATAACAGAACGAGGGGACATGGGTGGAAACTGGAAACTCAGATGAATCACAGAGATGTTAGGAAGTTTTCTTTTAGCGTGAGAGTAGTGGAAAAATGGAATGCACTTGGGGAACAGGTTGAGGAAGCAAATACTATTCATACTTTTAAAACTAGGTATGATAGGGAAATGGGACAGGAGTCATTGCTGTAAACAACCGATAGCTGGAAAGGCGGGATCCAAGAGTCAATGCTCGATCCTGCAAGCACAAATAGGTGAGTACAAATAGGTGAGTACACACACACACACACACACACACACACCCTGTAACCCTCACCTCAGGATAAGTTGAGGAAAACTAATTAGTTTACATTTTACCGGTTGTTCAACTGAAAGATGAGAGAAAACCCGTGGTAAAGCTTCAAGTATGACAGAAAATCAACTCCGAGTAATGCAGTATTAACCGACCATATTAACGTGGCTGAAAAATGTTGACCCAACCACTCACACCAAAAAGTGAAGAGACGGCGACGTTTCGGTCCGTCCAGGACCATTATCGATTTGATAATGGTCCAGGACGGACCGAAACGTCGTCGTCTCTTCACTTTCTAGTGTGTGGTTTGGTCAACAACACCGAGTAATAATAGTTAAACGTAATATTAAAAAAAATGTCCTATATAAGATACCGGTAAATTAACCGGCTTCAAACATTTAAGGAACAAGGCGAAATTTCCAAGAACTCGATAACTAGCTATTGCTAGTTATATTAAAAAGAACAAATGCAGAAAACAATACTTGATAACCAACTCTCACTATATCATAAAAAAAATCATCATTTAATGTTTCAATTAAATTCTCTTATAATAAGAATTACTTATATTCTGATATCACTCACTATTCTCAATACCGACGAGTCATTTGCCTTAAGTAATAAGTCACTACCAAGCTGAAGACACAGTAAGGAACTTAACTAAAATATTGCCGCTATGGTGAAGCTTGCCGCCTCTGATGTAACCAGTGGCAAATGTAAAGTGAGTTCTACCACACTAAAATTTTACCAAATACCAGTAGTAACCTTTCTCTGAATGCGGATCAACTTTTATACACAATTTGGCAAGAGTACAACAATAAGTTGTCCAAAATATGACATTTAAAGTGGGAGATTTGAAACCTGACAACGTGGAATTAAGTGAGCGACAAGCCGCTGGCTCAAGCCATGACCATCATGAATCTCCAAGAGAGATGAACTATATATTTAACATTTTCTAAGCATATTGATGGGTCTGCTTGTGGCTCCATATGCAAAATCATAAACACATGCAAAAATACATGATATGCAGGATACTGGATTTATATATGCAATTCCATGATGCTTTGTCCTTAAAGAAAATTTGAAAGAATTTAATTGTAAACTCAACTTGTCTTTCTTTACTGCAAAAATAATATGTAAATTTAGTTCCATGTGAAACGTGACTATAGCTGTGGATAAAATATTATGCTGTCAGGCTAATAACTGAATTTGCATATCGCAGTCTGACAACAGAATTACCTCTCCACCAACAACTTACAATTAGAACTAAGAATGCAATTTGGATTACTTCTAAATTGCGACATAAGATATAAATATTGCAGTTTAAAAAAAATTAATTAAGTGCAAACGAGGCTCTCGGCTTGTTCGTAACAACTCGCTCAGGCAAGTCTGTGTCGGGTGTACATTCACTCAAGGAAGAATATCTTGGAAGTAAACTCACTCAAGGAAGAATATCTTGGGAGTAAACTCACTCAAGGAAGAATATCTTGGGAGTAAACTCACTCAAGGAAGAATATCTTGGAAGTACACTCACTCAAGGAAGAATATCTCGGGAGTAAACTCACTCAAGTAAGAATATCTTGGGAGTAAACTCACTCAAGGAAGAATATCTTGGGAGTAAACTCACTCAAGGAAGAATATCTTGGAAGTAAACTCACTCAAGGAAGAATATCTTGGGAGTAAACTCACTATAGGAAGAATATCTTGAGAGTAAACTCACTCAAGGAAGAATATCTTGGGAGTAAACTCACTCAAGGAAGAATATCTTGGGAGTAAACTCACTATAGGAATAATATCTTGAGAGTAAACTCACTCAAGGAAGAATATCTTGGGAGTAAACTCACTATAGGAAGAATATCTTGAGAGTAAACTCACTCAAGGAAGAATATCTTGGTAGTAAACTCACTCAAGGAAGAATATCTTGGGAGTAAACTCACTCAAGGAAGAATATCTTGGTAGTAAACTCACTCAAGGAAGAATATCTTGGGAGTAAACTCACTCAAGGAAGAATATCTTGGAAGTAAACTCACTCAAGGAAGAATATCTTGGTAGTAAACTCACTCAAGGAAGAATATCTTGGTAGTAAACTCACTCAAGGAAGAATATCTTGGTAGTAAACTCACTCAAGGAAGAATATCTTGGGAGTAAACTCACTCAAGGAAGAATATCTTGGGAGTAAACTCACTCAAGAAATTATGTCTTTGGTTTACGTTCGCTCATGGAGGTATGTCTCAGGCGTACACTCTTGGAAGTATGTCTCGAGTTTACACTCAAGAAAATGCACCAATATCAGCGATTTACCTTTCCTTGGCAAGAATTCAGTTCCCCGTAGCATTGTAAACCCATCTGCACTTATCAGAGGTCGTTAACACGCTAAGCGTCAAATTTGTTTTTATCCTTACCACCTCACTCATCGCAGGAGCTACGACCGCACGCCACCACCACCATACTCGTCAGGTTTATTACACAGACAGTCCTTCGGTCGTACACAACGTCGTTAAATGATATCCTCAACCACCCGAACATAACCTGACCGAGGTCCTACGAATAGAAAACGAGACATCACGTCCATTTTACGAGCTGCTATGATTTTTCGTACTTGCATTTTTTGTTGGTCTTCTGGGGGATTTACACATCCAAAAGGTGATGTGGTGTTCGAGAGGACTGGTGGTCTCACAGGCCTTCGCAGATGTCAAATGCGGGGATTAACCTCTGCGTTGGTCGTCACGTTTGGTCAGGATTTATCTCCGGGGCCCCAGCCTCGCGTGAAAGCTGCGTTGCGTATAAAAGCTCCAGAGAATCCGATTTGGAAATAAATGTTCAGATTTAAACACATCTTGTGTTAGAGAGTGAGGGGGAGGGGCCACAGGCGTGGTGCGTGTGGCCAGTCTCTCTGGAGGTGGGCGAGGAGTGGCCAGTCTCTCTGGAGGTGGGCGAGGAGTGGCCAGTCTCTCTGGAGGTGGGCGAGGAGTGGCCAGTCTCTCTGGAGGTGGGCGAGGAGTGGTCAGTCTCTCTGGAGGTGGGCGAGGAGTGGCCAGTCTCTCTGGAGGTGGGCGAGGAGTGGCCAGTCTCTCTGGAGGTGGGCGAGGAGTGGTCAGTCTCTCTGGAGGTGGGCGAGGAGTGGCCAGTCTCTCTGGAGGTGGGCGTGGAGTGGCCAGTCTCTCTGGAGGTTGGGCGTGGAGTGGCCAGTCTCTCTGGAGGTGGGCGTGGAGTGGCCAGTCTCTCTGGAGGTGGGCGTGGAGTGCCCAGTCTCTCTGGAGGTGGGCGAGGAGTGGCCAGTCTCTCTGGAGGTGGGCGTGGAGTGCCCAGTCTCTCTGGAGGTGGGCGAGGAGTGGCCAGTCTCTCTGGAGGTGGGCGAGGAGTGAACAGGAGGGTCAGCCCGACCTACAGTAATCATTGGACATAGAGGAAAGGGAAGGGACCTATCAGGAGAATGCGCTTATCCTTTACGACTATATAGCACCTGAAAGGGGTCTGGATAAGGATTTGGGTGGTGCCCAACTACTTGGACAGTCGGGGATTGAACGCGACCTGCATGAAGCGAGACCGTTGCTTTTCCGTCCAGCCAAAGTGGTTGGGTACAATATGACAACTTGTTCGGTCAAACGTACACATATTGACTGATGAACCCACTCAACTTAACGTTCTCTTTTAGCAATAATGGCAAATTACGACGAAACGTCGTCGTCCCTTCAACTTCTAGTGTGTGGTCTGGTCAACATACTTCAGCCACGTTATTGTGACTCATCGCCTGCATATGGCAAATTAAATACTTGGAAAATTAGCTATCGAACCTAATCTTACCTTTTATGAGTACTCTTAGGCCTAGGTCTTAGGCCACTACCATAGGCCTAATATAGTAAGCACCTGGCCTAGTAATGTTTAAGATAATTTTGTTTTTTATTGTCCCCCTCCCCATACCATATTGTCCCATCTATATATCTATATAAATAAAAAAGGGAAATGTTCGTTTGTACATAACCGCTAATCTCCGAAAGTTCTTCAACGATTGCTTTGAAATTTTTACACAATGTTTCATTTGCATCTCAGCAAGTTTTTATATATGTACTATATAGATGTCACGTCTGTGACGGTAAAAAAAACATGCTTTTTCTGAAAAACTGTGCTTTTCATATGAGGAAAATCTTCGAAACCTCTTTACCAATTGCTTTGAAATTTTTACACAACGTTGCATTCGAATAGGCGCGTCTTTTTATATATCTACTTTATACATGCCTCACCTGTGACAGGAAAAAACATTAAAAAAAAAAAACAGCGCAATCTGTTGGACGTAAGAGCAACACACGCTGTAATCTCCGCAAATTCTTCACCAATTGCTTGGAAATTTTGACACAACGTTACATTCGAATAGGCGCATCTTTTTATATACCTAGTATATAGATGCCACCCCCTGTAACCGGTAAAAACACGCGTTTTTGTAAAACAGCGCCATCTGTTGCACATGAGACCAACACAGGCTATACTAAATATGTTATAATTCCAATTCAATGTTTCCGATTTCATTGATAAATTGAATTTTTATAAATTTCGATTTTTTTAAATTTTTATTTAATTATTTTGTCTGATATTACCTTTTAATTGAGCTGTGTTGTTTACCATACCGTTCATTTTGTGAGTATAGTTGTTTTTTTTATTTTTTCATTATTTTTCATTTCGTTTTTTGAACTGTTTTACTTACATTTCAGTGATGGGAACATCTGGGGCCAGATTCACGAAGTAGTTACGCAAGTACTTACGAACGTGTACATCGTTCTTTAATCTTTGATGGCTTTGGTTACATATATTAAATAGTTTGCAAGCATGAAATCTTGCCAATTAACTGTTGTTATTGTTATAAACAGCCTCCTGGTGCTTTGGAGCTCATTAACTGTTTAATAATTGTAAACAAACCAGCCAAAGATTGAGAAATGATGTACAGGTTTGTAAGTGTTTGAGTAACTTCTTCTTGAATCTAGCCCTTGATCATTTGATGGTCCTAATTTTCTGATAGGAACATCAGATCATTTGATCATCAGACAAAGGAGTGGGGAATGGTGGGAAGGACGAGAGTGGGGGACGGTTGGGAGAACTAGGGGACCAGGGAGTTTGTAATGGTGGAGGAGGACAAGGAGACATCGGGAGTTGGGGATGGTGGGGACGAAGGTAATGAAGAATGGTTGGGAAGACAAGAGGATAGGGGAGTGGAGGATAGTGAGGAGGACGAGTGGACGGGGGAGGGGGGAATGGTAGGGAGGACGAGGGGACAGGGAAGTGGGAGATAGTGTGGAGGACGAGAGGATGGTGGAGTGGGGGGGGAATGGTGGGGAGGACTGGGAGATAAGGGAAGATTGCTGTGGCTCAGCAACGCACATGTGAGCCACAGCAACACGTGGCCGGGTACAGCTAGTATATAAATAAAAACGTAAATGTTTGTTTGCTCAAAATCGCTAATCTCTGAAAGTTCTTTACCGATTGGTTTGAAATTTTGACACAACGTTTCATTCCTATACAAGCGTGTTTTTATATATCATAATATATAAATTTTGTCTGTAACAGACAAAAATATGTTGTTTTTTTTAAACAGTGTAATCTATTGTATGTAAGAGCAACACACGCTGTAATCTCCGAAAGTTCTTCACTGATTGCTTTGAAATTTTGACACAATGTTCTATTCGAATACGCGCATGTTTTTATATGCATACTATATAGATGTCACACCTGGGAGAGGTAAAAACATTTTTTTTTGAAAATGGCGCCATCTGTTGCACGTAGAAGCAACACACACTACACTAAATATGTTACGCTTCTATTTTAGTGTTTCCGATTGCAATGATAAATTACATTTTTATTGATTAAAATTTATTTTCATTTTGATTTAATTATTTTGCGTGACATTGCGTTGGAATTGAGCTGTGTTGTTTACCATGCCATTCATTTGTTATGTCATGTCTGTGGGAAATAAAAATATATATTTTTTTAAACTGTTTTTTATGTGAGTTTTTGTGTGAGGGAAATCTCCGAAACCTCTTTACCGATTGCTTAGAAATTTTGACACAACGTTGCATTTGAATAAGCACGTGTTTTTATATACTATCTATACATGCCATACCTGTGACAGGTAAAAACTATTTTTTTTTTTTTGAAACAGCGCCATCTGTTGGGCGCAACAGAAACACACACTCTGTAATCTCCAAAAATTCTTCACCGATTGCTTTGAAATTTTGACGCTATGATCCATTTGAATATTCACGTGTTAATATATACCTACAATATAGATGACGAACCTGCGACAGGTAAAAAACAAGCTTTTTTTGAAAAACAGTGCCATCGGTTGCACGTAAAAAGACACACACGCTATACTAAATATGTTACAATTCCATTTCAATGTTTCCAATTGTTATGATAAATTGAATTTTCATAGTTTTCGATTCATTTTCATTTAGATTTAATTATTTTGTGTGACATTGCGTTGGCATTTAGCTGTGATGTTTACCGTACCATTCATTTTGTGAGTATAGTTTATTTTATTTTTTTTCACTGTTTTTCATTTCATTTTTTTTAAACTGTTCTTCTTATTTCTCAGTGATGGGAACATCAGATTATTTGGGAACGCATTGGACAAGGGTGTGGGGAATGATTGGGAGGACTGTGCAGAATACCCCCGTTGAAAGCAGAGGTGCAACAGGTACTCTGAGAGAGAACTCTTATCAACATCAGAGGCCCGAGACTGTTCAACACGCTTCCACTACACATAAGGGACATAACTGGCAGATCCCTCACAGTGTTCAAGAGAGAACTGGATAAGCACCTCCAAAGGATACCTGATCAACCAGGCTGTGACTCATACGTCAGGCTGGGAGCGGCCGCGTCCAACAGCCTGGTTGATCAATCCAGCAACCAGGAGGCCTGGTCGACGACCGGGCCGTGGGGATGCTAAGCCCCGGAAGCACCTCAAGGTAAGCTCAAGGTAACGAGGGGTTGGGAGTGGGGGATGGTGGGGAGGACTAGGGGATGGTGGAACAGGGAATTAATGGGGGATGACGAGGGGACGGGGGAGTGGAGGATGGTGGGGAAGACGAGGAGATAGTGGAGTGGAGGATGGTGGGGAGGACGAGGGGACGGGGAGAATGGAGGGAAGAATGAGGGGATGGGGGAGTGACGAATGGTTGGGAGGAACATGGGACGGGGAGAGGGGTAATGGTCGGGATGATGGGGGGACAGTGGAGGGTTGCTGTTCGCGTTGTTGGGCCACAGAACCGCGTGGCCGGGTACAGCTAGTATATAAATTAAAATGTAAAAGTTCAAAATCGCTAATCTCCGAAAGTTCTTCACTGATTGCTTTGAAATTTTCACACAGCGTTTCATTCGCATCCGAGAGCTTTTTTGTTTACTTAGTATAGAGATGTCACGTCAGTGAAGGGGAAAAAAACATGTTTTTTTTAAACTGTAGTTTTTATGTTTTATTCAGGTTAGGGAAATCTTCGAAACCTCTTTACCGATTGCTTTGAAATTTTGACACAACGTTGCATTCGAATAGGCACGTGTTTTTATATACCTACTATATACATGCCTCACCTGTGACAGGAAATTTTATTTTTTTATTTATAAATAGCGCCATCTGTTTGACGTATGAGCAACACGCTGTAATCTTCGAAAGTTCTTCATAGATTGCTTTGAAATTTTGACACAACATTTCATTTGAATACGCACACGTTTTTATATACCTAATACATACATGCCACACCTGTAACAGATAGGTGTAACAACGATTTTTTTTTAAACAGCGCCATCTGTTGCACGTAACAGCAACACACGCTATTCTAAATATGTTATGATTCCATTTCAATGTTTCTGATTGCATTGACAAACTAAATTTTCTTAGATTTAGATTTATTTTCATTTTAATAAGTTAATTATTTTGTGTGACATTGCGTTGGAATTGAGCCGTGTTGTTTACCATAAGGTTCATTTTATGAGTATAGTTTTTTTTTTTTTTTAATTTTTTTCATTTCGTTTTGTTAGCTGTTTTTCTAATATTTCATTGATTCAGTGATACAGTGATTCAGTGATACAGTGATTCAGTGATACAGTGATTCAGTGATACAGTGATTCAGTGATACAGTGATACAGTGATTCAGTGATTCAGTGATTCAGTGATACAGTGATTCAGTGATACATTGATTCAGTGATACAGTGATTCAGTGATACAGTGATTCAGTGATACAGTGATTCAGTGATACAGTGATTCAGTGATACAGTGATTCAGTGATACAGTGATACAGTGATTCAGTGATTCAGTGATTCAGTGATACAGTGATTCAGTGATACATTGATTCAGTGATACAGTGATTCAGTGATACAGTGATACAGTGATACAGTGATTCAGTGATACAGTGATTCAGTGATACAGTGATTCAGTGATACATTGATTCAGTGATACAGTGATTCAGTGATACAGTGATTCAGTGATACAGTGATTCAGTGATACAGTGATTCAGTGATACAGTGATTCAGTGATACAGTGATTCAGTGATACAGTGATTCAGTGATACAGTGATTCAGTGATTTCATCAGATCATGTGATGTAACACAAATTTGATATATAAATATATATATATTTCCTCAAGTTTTGAGAATTGTCCGTCCTAGACCATTCTCAAGTCGACACTTAATGGGCCAGCCAGAGGCTTAAGGCCAGCGTAGGAATATTCCTGGAAAAAAATTTCGACCGCCATTCACTCTTCGGCGTGTCATATGACTGTCATTCACTCCTGAACGTATCGTATGACCGTCATTCACTCTTTGGCGTGTCATATGACTGTCATTCACTCCTGAACGTATCGTATGACCGTCATTCACTCTTTGGCGTGTCATATGACTGTCATTCACTCCTGAACGTATCGTATGACCGTCATTCACTCTTCGGCGTGTCATATGACTGTCATTCACTCCTGAACGTATCATATGACCGTCATTCACTCTTTGGCGTGTCATATGACTGTCATTCACTCCTGAACGTATCGTATGACCGTCATTCACTCTTTGGCGTGTCATATGACTGTCATTCACTCCTGAACGTATCATATGACCGTCATTCACTCTTTGGCGTGTCATATGACTGTCATTCACTCCTGAACGTATCATATGACCGTCATTCACTCTTTGGCGTGTCATATGACTATCATTCACTCCTGAACGTATCATATGACCGTCATTCACTCTTCGGCGTGTCATATGACTATCATTCACTCCTGAACGTATCATATGACCGTCATTCACTCTTCGGCGTGTCATATGACTATCATTCACTCCTGAACGTATCATATGACCGTCATTCACTCTTCGGCGTGTCATAAGACTATCATTCACTCCTGAACGTATCGTATGACCGTCATTCACTCTTTGGCGTGTCATATGACTATCATTCACTCCTAAACGTATCATATGACCGTCATTCACTCTTTGGCGTGTCATATGACTGTCATTCACTCCTGAACGTATCGTATGACCGTCATTCACTCTTTGGCGTGTCATATGACTGTCATTCACTCCTGAACGTATCATATGACCGTCATTCACTCTTTGGCGTGTCATATGACTGTCATTCACTCCTGAACGTATCATATGACCGTCATTCACTCTTTGGCGAGTCATATGACTATCATTCACTCCTGAACGTATCGTATGACCGTCATTCACTCTTTGGCGTGTCATATGACTGTCATTCACTCCTGAACGTATCATATGACCGTCATTCACTCTTCGGTGAAACAACGAGAAAGGGACAGTTGTTGACAACGAATTGAGACGTGAGGGCAAACTAAGGGCTGAGATATATGGGCAGACTAAGAGCTGAGATATATAGGCAGACTAAGAGCTGAGATATATGGGCAGACTAAGAGCTGAGATATAAAGGCAGACAAAGAGCTGAGATACAAAGGCAGACTAAGAGCTGAGATATAAGGGCAGACTAAGAGCTGAGACATAAATGTAGACAAAGAGCTGAGATATAAGGTCAGACTAAGAGCCGAGATATAAAGGCAGACTAAGAGCTGAGATATAAAGGTAGACAAAGAGCTGAGATATAAGGTCAGACTAAGAGCTGAGATATTAGGGCAGACTAAGAGCTGATATATAAGGGCAGACTAAGAGCTGAGATATAAAGGCAGAGTAGGAGCCGAGATATAAAGGCAGACAAAGAGCTGTGATACAAAGGCAGACTAGGAGCTGAGATATTAGGCCAGACTAAGAGCAGAGACATATGGGGAGACTAAGAGCTGAGATATCAGGGCAGGCTAAGAGCTGAGATATGATTACAGGCTAAAAGCTGAAATATCAGGTCATACTAAGAGCTGAGAAAAAAAGGCAGACTAAGAGCTGAGATATCAGGTCAGACTAAGAACTGAGATATAAGGATATACTAAGAGTTGAAATATCAGGCAGACTAAGAGCTGTGATATAAGGACAGAATAAGAGCTGAGATATCAGATCAAACTAAGAGCTGAGATATCAGGTCAGACTAAGAGCAGAAATATAAGTGAAGACTAAGAGCTCGGGTATAAAAGCAGACTAAGAGCTGAGATATAAAGGCAGACTAAGAGCTGAGGTATAAGGGCAGGATAAAAGCTGATATATTAGGACAAACAAAGAACTGAGATATGAGAACAGTTACAACAAATGCAGGAACAGGTATGCCCATAATATCAACACAGGCAGGTGAATATCCGTCGAAGGTATGCCCACACTAACAACACCAATAGGTGAAGGTATGCCCACACTAACAACACCAACAGGTGAAGGTATGCCCACACTAACAACACCAATAGGTGAAGGTATGCCCACACTAGCAACCCCAGCAGGTGAAGGTATGCCCACACTAACAACACCAGCAGGTGAAGGTATGCCCATACTAACAACACCAGCAGGTGAAGGTATGCCAACACTAATAACACCAACAGGTGAAGGTATGCCAACACTAATAAAACCAACAGGTGAAGGTATGCCCACACTAACAACACCAGCAGGTGAAGGTATGCCCACACTAACAACACCAGCAGGTGAAGGTATGCCCACACTAACAACACCAGCAGGTGAAGGTATGCCAACACTAATAACACCAACAGGTGAAGGTATGCCCACACTAACAACACCAGCAAGTGAAGGTATGCCCACACTAACAACACCAGCAGGTGAAGGTATGCCCACACTAACAACACCAACAGGTGAAGGTATGCCCACACTAACAACACCAACAGGTGAAAGTATGCCCACACTAACAACACCAACAGGTGAAGGTATGCCCACACTATCAACACCAGCAGGTGAAGGTATGCCCACACTAACACCACCAACAGGTGGAGGTATGCCCACACTAACAACACCAACAGGTGAAGGTATGCCCACACTAACAACACCAGCAGGTGAAGGTATGCCCACACTAACAACACCAACAGGTGAAGGTATGCCCACACTAACAACACCAGCAGGTGAAGGTATGCCCACACTAACAACACCAACAGGTGAAGGGATGCCCATACTAACAACACCAGTAGTTGAAATTATGCCCATACTAACAACACCAACAGGTGAAGGTATGCCCACACTAACAACACCAACAGGTGAAGGGATGCCCAAACAAACAACACCAACAGGTGAAGGTATGCTCACACTAACAACACCAGTAGTTGAAATTATGCCCATACTAACAACTCCAGCTGGTGAAAGTAACATACTACCTAGCGTTGTTTACTCTCTAGCGTTGTTAGCCCATACTAACAACGCTAGAGGGTAAATGAATGTCAATACTAACAACTGCAGTTGCTGAAAGTATGCCCATACTAACAACACCAGCAGGAGAAGGTATGCCCATACAAACAACACCAGCAGGTGCAGGTATGCCCATACTATCAACACCAGCAGGTGCAGGTATGCCCATACTATCAACACCAGCAGGTGCATGTATGCCCATACTAACAACATCAACAGGTGAAGGTATGCCCATACTATCAACACCAGCAGGTGCAGGTATGCCCATACTAACAACATCAACAGGTGAAGGTATGCCCATATTAATAACTGCAACAGGTGAAGGAATGCCAACGCTAACAACACCAGCAGCTGAAAGCATGAGCATACTAACAACACCAGCAGGTGAAGTATGCCTATTCTAACTTCACCAGCAGGTGAAGGTATGTCCTCACTAACAACACCAGCAGGTGCAGGTATGACCATACTAACAACACCAACAGGTGTAGTATGCCCATTTTAACAATACCATCAAGTGAAGGTATGCCCCTACTAACACCACCAACAAGTGAAGGTATGCCCCTACTAACACCACCAACAAGTGAAGATATGCCCACACTAACACCACCAGCAAGTGAAGATATGCTCACACTAACACCACCAACAAGTGAAGATATGCCCACACAAACACCACCAGCATGTGAAGATATGCCCACACTAACACCACCAACAAGTGAAGGTATGCCCCTACTAACACCACCAACAAGTGAAGGTATGCCCCTACTAACACTACCAACAAGTGAAGATATGCTCACACTAACACCACCAACAAGTGAAGATATGCCCACACTAACACCACCAGCAAGTGAAGATATGCCCACACTAACACCACCAGCAAGTGAAGATATGCCCACACTAACACCACCAGCAAGTGAAGATATGCCCACACTAACACCACCAACAAGTGAAGGTATGCCCCTACTAATACCACCAACAAGTGAAGGTATGCCCCTACTAATACCACCAACAAGTGAAGATATGCCCACACTAACACCACCAACAAGTGAAGATATGCCCACACTAACACCACCAACAAGTGAAGATATGCCCACACTAACACCACCAACAAGTGAAGGTATGCCCCTACTAACACCACCAACAAGTGAAGATATGCCCACACTAACACCACCAACAAGTGAAGATATGCCCACACTAACACCACCAACAAATGAAGATATGCCCACACTAACACCACCAGCAAGTGAAGATATGCCCACACTAACACCACCAGCAAGTGAAGATATGCCCACACTAACAACACCAGCAAGTGAAGGTATGCCCACACTAGCACCACCAGCAAGTGAAGATATGCCCACACTAACACCACCAGCAAGTGAAGATATGCCCACACTAACACCACCAGCAAGTGAAGATATGCCCACACTAACACCACCAGCAAGTGAAGATATGCCCACACTAACAACACCAGCAAGTGAAGATATGCCCACACTAACACCACCACCAAGTGAAGATATGCCCACACTAACACCACCAGCAATTGAAGATATGCCCACACTAACACCACCAGCAAGTGAAGATATGCCCACACTAACACCACCAGCAAGTGAAGATATGCCCACACTAACACCACCAGCAAGTGAAGATATGCCCACACTAACACCACCAGCAAGTGAAGATATGCCCACACTAACACCACCAACAAGTGAAGATATGCCCCTACTAACAACACCAGCAAGTGAAGATATGCCCACACTAACACCACCAACAAGTGAAGATATGCCCACACTAACAACACCAGCAAGTGAAGATATGCCCACACTAACACCACCAACAAGTGAAGATATGCCCACACTAACACCACCAGCAAGTGAAGATATGCCCACACTAACACCACCAGCAAGTGAAGATATGCCCACACTAACACCACCAGCAAGTGAAGATATGCCCACACTAACACCACCAACAAGTGAAGATATGCCCACACTAACACCACCAGCAAGTGAAGATATGCCCACACTAACACCACCAACAAGTGAAGATATGCCCACACTAACACCACCAGCAAGTGAAGATATGCCCACACTAACAACACCAGCAAGTGAAGATATGCCCACACTAACACCACCAGCAAGTGAAGATATGCCCACACTAACACCACCAACAGGTGAAGGTATGCCCACACTAACACCACCAGCAAGTGAAGATATGCCCACACTAACACCACCAACAGGTGAAGATATGCCCACACTAACACCACCAACAAGTGAAGATATGCCCAAACTGTGAACAACATTTTCAATACGAAATACTTACAAAGCCGTAACACATAGAGTCAAAATGAACCGCTGTCGTGAGAGCTCTTCGGTTAAGATGACTGTAGAAAACATGAGAGGTTGTCACAAAAAGTATCTGTGTGTGGACATTTCAAAGAATTGCATTCATGACTTTATTTAGATTTAGTTGAACCACATTGAATATATTCATGTAGGTGTGTAGGCCGCTTCCCTGTGTATATACACTGAGAGTTTACTTCAGTCCTGGATATTGTCCAGGGACCAGATTCACGAAATTACTTACGCAAGCACTTACGAACCTGTCCATCTTTTCTCAATCTTTGGCGGCTTTGTTTCCAATTATTAAGCAGTTAATGAGCTCCGAAGCACCAGGAGGCTGTTTATAACAATAACAACAGTTGATTGGCAAGTTTTCATGCTTGTAAACTGTTAAATAAATGTAACCAAAGCCATGAAAGATTGAGGAAAGATGTACACGTTCGTAAGTGCTTGCGTAAGTGCTTTCGTGAATCTGGCCCCAGGACTGATGAAGTACTTGGTGGTTGGTCAGTAAGATCTTGTGGTGGATTTTGATACCAATCCTTACAGCGGATGACAGGCTTTAAGACCTCACTATCCAAAACAGGTGAAGCTTCAGTTGACTTCTCAAATTCTGTTTAGTGAAGGATGAGTGTTACTCAGATGCATCTCCTTTCCTACACCGGCGATGTAAAAATATTGCTTGACCTTCTTGTAGCATTTAAAAACCTGGTTTCAAAAACTAATTTCAAACTAGGTGATTTGTTTGAAAATAATATAGGAAATTTTTACGGCAACTTTAAACATATTATTAGGTCATATTTACATAGCATTTACACTGCCAAACCAAGGTATAGTATTTGCCTTGGTGTTGGAACCCGTCCTCAGGCCAGGCTCGTTACAGCTGCGGTCCCACTTCGCTAAAACCCATATGGACTTTAGCGTGAATCTCAAGCTTAAACCGCAAAGGCTTAACTAGTCCTCTCGGCCTCCACAGACCTAATAACATAATCACCATCAGCGCCAGGCGGTGCATCACCAACCTCATCCACGTTCTGAGTAACTAACAACCTCATCCACGTTCTGAGTAACTAACAACCTCATCCACGTTCTGAGTAATTAGCAACCTCATCCACGTTCTGAGTAACTAACAACCTCATCCACGTTCTGAGTAACTAACAACCTCATCCACGTTCTGAGTAATTAGCAACCTCATCAACGTTCTGAGTAACTAGCAACCTCATCAACGTTCTGAGTAACTAACAACCTCATCCACGTTCTGAGTAATTAGCAACCTCATCCACGTTCTGAGTAACTAACAACCTCATCCACGTTCTGAGTAACTAACAACCTCATCCACGTTCTGAGTAATTAGCAACCTCATCCACGTTCTGAGTAACTAACAACCTCATCCACGTTCTGAGTAACTAACAACCTCATCCACGTTCTGAGTAACTAACAACCTCATCCACGTTCTGAGTAACTAACAACCTCATCCACGTTCTGAGTAACTAACAACCTCATCCACGTTCTGAGTAACTAACAACCTCATCCACGTTCTGAGTAACTAGCAACCTCATCCACGTTCTGAGTAACTAGCAACCTCATCCACGTTCTGAGTAACTAGCAACCTCATCCACGTTCTGAGTAACTAACAACCTCATCAACGTTCTGAGTAACTAGCAACCTCATCAACGTTCTGAGTAACTAGCAACCTCATCCACGTTCTGAGTAACTAACAACCTCATCAACGTTCTGAGTAACTAGCAATCTCATCAACGTTCTGAGTAACTAACAACCTCATCAACGTTCTGAGTAACTAACAATCCCATCCACGTTTTGAGTAACTAGCAACCTCATCAACGTTCTGAGTAACTAACAACCTCATCAACGTTCTGAGTAACTAACAATCTCATCCACGTTCTGAGTAACTAGCAACCTCATCCACGTTCTGAGTAACTAACATCCTCATCCACGTTCTGAGTAACTAGCAATCTCATCCACGTTCTGAGTAACTAGCAACCTCATCCACGTTCTGAGTAACTAACAACCTCATCAACGTTCTGAGTAACTAGCAACCTCATCCACGTTCTGAGTAACTAGCAACCTCATCCACGTTCTGAGTAACTAGCAACCTCATCAGCGTTGTTACGAACCCTTCGTAACCGGGTTCTTTTTAAACTCTATGATCCTACTCAAGTTCACAGGACCCTAACCTTGGTGAAAATATAGTGTAATGTTTAAGGTAAATAAAAATAATAGCACTTAAAATAACCAGTTATCATTACCCATCATCATTATTATTATCTACAAGTCTCTATGTGAGGTATATATAAAATAACAACGTATTGGAGTGAACGATATGGAAGAAAATGCAGAATAGAACCAGTGAAGAGCAGAGGTGCCATAGACACAATCAGAGAACACTGTATAAACATCAGAGGTCCGCGGTTGTTCAACGTCCTCCCAGCAAGCATAAGAAATATTGCTGGAACAACCGTGGACATCTTCAAGAGGAAACTAGATTTATTCCTCCAAGGAGTGCCGGACCAACCGGGCTGTGGTGGGTATGTGGGCCTGCGGGCCGCTCCAGGCAACAGCCTAGTGGACCAAACTCTCACAAGTCAAGCCTGGCCTCGGGCCGGGCATGGGGAGTAGAAGAACTCCCAGAACCCCATCAACCAGGTATCAACCAGGTCATCCGGAGCGGCGTCACTAGCCTTCGCGCTAGCTAGCTTCACGGATGACGGACACCATGCCTCGGACGAGGTCTTCAAGGCCCCACTAGCCCCTACGCTAGCTGACTTTATGGAGCCGTCTTCAAATGCTCCCCCTCTTTATCGCACTCGCTAGTTCGCCTCCATCAATGTCCAAAGCGATCACCTAGCCCCACTGGCTAGCACCTTCCAATAGTGAAGTCTACAGCGCTCAACTAGCCCCCACTGGCTAGTACCTCCAGGAGTGAGATCCACAGCTCTCAACTTAGCCCACTTAGCTAGCACCTTCAGGTCGACCCAACTACTCTTCCACTGTCCCGGTTTCACTGACTTCCATTCCTTGTCCCTGGTTAGTCGTCACCTTCCAGCCCAGCCGAGACGAATATGGGAAACTACGATTAATGGGAGGGTCGACTGCTATAGTTCGGCACCTGGATCGTAGATGGCGCCGAGGTCCGTCACACACGTTCTGAGTAACTAGCAACCTCATCAACATTCTGGGTAGCTATCAACCTCATCAACGTTCTGAGTAACTAACAACCTCATCAACGTTCTGAAAAACAACCTCATTAATGTTCTGAAAACAACCTCATTAATGTTCTGAAAAACAACCTTATTAATGTTCTGAAAACAACCTCATTAATGTTCTGAAAAACAACCTCATCAACATTCTGAGTAAGTAACAACCTCATCAACATTCTGAGTAAGTAACAACCTCATCAACATTCTGAGTAAGTAACAACCTCATCCACAAGACATAAGGCAAGACGTCAACGTCTCTCTCAAAGCGTTTAACAATGCACAAACAACAGGGCTCCATCAAGGAACATATAATCGCCACACACACAACGAGACGATCACCAGGGATATTGTGACGAGCAACACCGAAATAACTGATAGATACAATGACAATAGAAGATTAGACATCAGTGAAGCGCTGCATATCAAGAAATCTAGACCAGCAATCAATAACCAGCTAACACACAGCTACACTTTTCCCACCTCAAGACCTCGGGCCAATGCAGAAGCTGGACCAAATGACCCTGCAACAGGAACGGAAGCAGCCAGAACATAAACATGTCACATCTCTTAATCTGCTACACCATTAGTACCCCATTCATTTAATACACCTTTCATTTAATACCCCATGTATGTCATTCCTCCATGTCACCTACTCACTCATCACTAGAGGATATAATCAGGAGCTACACAGAAGAATTTGTCTTCGAGAATTTGAGACGAGACCTTACGAAACGCATCCCTAAGCGTCAGACCAAGCCACCTGGCGCCTCAGCCATCAGGCTCCTGAGCCACCTGGCTCCTGAGCCACCTGGCGCCTGAGCCACCTGGCTCCTCAGCCACCTGGCGACCCAGCCACTTGGCGCCTCAGCCACCTGGCGCCTCAGCCACCTGGCGACCCAGCCACTTGGCGCCTCAGCCACCTGGCGCCTCAGCCACCTGGCGACCCAGCCACTTGGCGACCCAGCCACTTGGCGCCTCAGCCATCAGGTTCCTGAGCCACCTGGCTCCTGAGCCACCTGGCTCCTGAGCCACCTGGCTCCTCAGCCACCTGGCGACCCAGCCACTTGGCGCCTCAGCCACCTGGCGCCTCAGCCACCTGGCTCATCAGCCACCTGACTCCTCAGCCACCTGGCTCCTCAGCTACCTGGTGCCTCAGCCACCTGGCTCCTCAGCTACCTGGCGCCTCAGCCACCTGGCTTCTCAGCTACCTGGCGCCTCAGCCACCTGGCTCCTCAGCTACCTGGCGCCTCAGCCAACTGGCTCCTCAGCTACCTGGCGCCTCAGCCAACTGACTCCTCAGCCACCAGGCTCCTCAGCCACCTGGCGCCTCAGCCACCTGGCGCCTCAGCCACCTGGCGCCTCAGCCACCTGGCGCCTCAGCCACCTGGCGCCTCAGCCACCTGGCTCATCAGCCACCTGGCTCCTCAGCCACCTGGCTCCTCAGCCACCTGGCTCCTCAGCAACCTGGCGCCTCAGCCACCTGGCGCCTCAGCAACCTGGCGCCTCAGCCACCTGGCTCCTCAGCCACCTGGCTCCTCAGCCACCTGGCGCCTCAGCCACCTGGCGCCTCAGCCACCTGGCTCATCAGCCACCTGTCTCCTCAGCCACCTGGCGCCTCAGCCACCTGGCGCCTCAGCCACCTGGCTCATCAGCCACCTGTCTCCTCAGCCACCTGGCGCCTCAGCCACCTGGCGCCTCAGCCACCTGGCTCATCAGCCACCTGTCTCCTCAGCCACCTGGCTCGTCAGCAACCTGGCGCCTCAGCCACCTGGCGCCTTAGCCACCTGGCTCCTCAGCCACCTGGCTCCTCAGCTACCTGGCGCCTCAGCAACCTGGCTCCTCAGCCACCTGGCGCCTCAGCCACCTGGCGCCTCAGCCACCTGGCGCCTTAGCCACCTGGCTCCTCAGCTACCTGGCGCCTCAGCCACCTGGCGCCTCAGCCACCTGGCGCCTCAGCCACCTGGCGCCTCAGCCACCTGGCGCCTTAGCCACCTGGCTCCTCAGCAACCTGGCTCCTCAGCCAACTAGCTCCTCAGCCACCTGGCGCCTCAGCCAACTGGCTCCTCAGCCACCTGGCGCCTCAGCCAACTGGCTCCTCAGCCACCTGGCGCCTCAGCCAACTGGCTCCTCAGCCACCTGGCGCCTCAGCCAACTGGCTCCTCAGCCACCTGGCGCCTCAGCCATCTGGCGCCTCAGCCATCTGGCGCCTCAGCCACCTGGCGCCTCAGCCACCTGGCGCTTTGAACTAATTAGCGAGGGAAATATTAGGAATATATGTCAACACTCTCAATCGTCAGCTTTTAAAATCTTGATTCCCAAATTTCCCTTTGCGTAAATAACAAATAATTACTAATAGTTCATTTTCTGAGTGTTATTGTCGTGCTACATTAGTGAATAGTGTGAGGCGGTGGTTTAGGGCCGACGTGTCGCAGCAGTCTGCTGATGACTGGCCGCAGTCTGCTGATGACTGGCCGCAGTCTGCTGATGACTGGCCGCAGTCTGCTGATGACTGGAAGCAGTCTGCTGATGACTGGCCGCAGTCTGCTGATGACTGGCCGCAGTCTGCTGATGACTGGCCGCAGTCTGCTGATGATTTGCTGGTCAAGTCTTGTCGTAGCGCAATAACATCTATCATAACAAAACTGGTAAAGAAACAATCGGAACGTTTGTATGAGCAGACCTATGATTGTAGTCGCGGCGCCCTTGAAAATAACGGCAATCCATCACTCATATGAGTCACCCTGCAAAACACACGCCCACACACATGGCATAGAAGGCCAGACCTGGGAAAAAAAAGGTCTATACTCTGCGCATGTAACGTACGAAACAAAATGGACGTGAACGAAATGTTGCGGCCATAGCGCAACTAGTTGGTCACACAAGCTGGTAGACGCTGGTGGACTCGGGAAGCTGAGAGTCAGTATGTCTTCGGACAGTGTGCGGAGTGGAGCTCTCGCTGCGGCCTGGCTCAGTCACGCGCGTCATGCCTCTGCCCGGGCTACACACTCTTAAACAAATTTATGAAATGTTAAGTGCGATTTGCAAAGATTCTGTTCTTTAGATTTTCTCTCAATAATATTAGAGTGTTTGGAATGAGAGAATATACTGAAATAATTCAAATATAATGGCAATAAGGTACACATGTATGTACTGATAAAGTTTACCATGAGCAAACCATGTTGGGCTCGTCCAGCCAGTGACCTGAACGTACATGGTGTAAAAGTTATTGTGGTCGTTTAGATAGTCAATTGAGTCCAGAATTGGTCAAGTTACTAGTGCGGTGCCGTCAAGGAGAGCGAGAGTACCATGATGATGGGACTCAGGGATATGACACTCTGCGCCTTGCAGCTACTCCTCTTCCTTCCAGGTAAGTTGACCATCTTTATGTCTCGTATTTGCCAACAGTCTTGTCACGTTTAATATGATCAATTTTAGATTATTTGGCTTTTGAAGATCTTCCGCATACATTTAAAAGGTTGTAGAAATACAGGGTGCTTATTATCCTTGTCAAACTTTTCGAGAGTTAAGAAATACAATTTTATCTCGAGTCATTTGAAGAACGCGAATCCCTGCGAAGCAATGTGCTTCCGTTGCTACTTTGACAGTAGAGTAGTGCTTGGCTCTCTCTCCCTCTGACGTGTTATGAAGCAGTCACGTATACAAGACAAACAATCAAGTAGTTGATAACCAACCCTAGAAGTTGTTATGGGCGGAGTACCGCCACATGAAGGGCCTCGTGACCGGGTGATTAAGTCTGCTTGTACCGTTTTCGCTGGCTTTTTAAGTCATGCAAAAGGGTAAAGATTATATTTTTTCCTAATGAAAAAAGAAGGATATATGAAAGTGAGCGTTTTCCCCGAATATTTGTTATTTTCTCTGAAGTATTACTATTATGTAGGCCTAACTTCGTTGTCCACACTGTTGATACAGCAGGCGTTGTGTGTATATATATATATATATATATATATATATATATATATATATATATATATATATATATATATATATAATATGTAATGTGTGTGTATATAGCCATGTCACAGATTAATTAAGACTTGCTCATCGTTCATTAGAGAGCAGGTCATTACATAAAGGGGAAGTGTATTTGAGGTGGTTGCTAGCGTATTGATTGGACAATTATGGTATCGAATCCGTAGGGCTTTCTTAAACCCGTTTGAATGCTAGTCTTGGAATGTCATACCAATGCAATGGAATGGTATTTTTGCTGTTTGCCAATGCTCTCCAAGAATGGTACATTTGTTACGAGGATTATCGGTACTGCGAGCAGCCACCATGGGTAAATGTCTTAATGATGTAGTGACTGGCATTGTGGCTACTAACGAGGGGTGATTAACGCTGGTGTCTAACGTTCCGTGTAAACGTATTCATAATGACAGGGTATTCACTCTCCATTGTGGATTTCCCCGTTTGATTTAGCCCAACTAGCACTATTCTCGAGAATGTGTAACCACCCATAAAGTTAGACTATACATCATGTGCTGCTCGAAAGGCTTTGCGTGTTAGTGACTTTTTAAATATAATAAATATAATAATTAAATATGCGCTCAGCTAGATTGGGTAGTGAACCCATATTACATGGTATAGTTTAGTAACCAGGGAGGTTAAATGTATAAATTAGAATATCCCATAATATGCATTTATTTAGTACATAAGTCCCAAAATGACAAAATTTATTACGAAACCTAACCTGGCGTGCGAATCAAATTCACTGAAGTAAATTAAAGCTTTTTCAAATGTCTAATATTTTGAAGCTGACTGGAAGCTTCTTGATAATGTATATTAGCTCTCAAATGAAAGCAATAAACACTTCTTTCCTTGCATTTTGTCTTTTATTTTCAAAGCGTTCCACCCAAGGAACACGTGAAACGTATAGGCCTAATAGGTTTTTCAAAAGGAAAGGGAACCCAAATAAAATAAAAAATTGGGACATAAAACCCAAATCATGGAATAATTTGAAGGAATGGTTTGATTTAAAAAACTCACTAACCTACAGATATATTCGTCCTTCATGAAATCAAATCAAAGAACAAACTGTATTCACAAATGGATGGACATTTATAATTGGGAAAGTTTATAAACAGAAAATTTAATATAAAATTTACTGTTCATTAATTAGACGAGTGACATAAACAACAGAGCACGTAGACATTGTCATTATACAAGTCCGAAACTTTGTTTGTAACTCTTATATAATTCGTTGCAATATTGACTGAGGAGGTGTTCAGCAATCTCAATAAAACTCAAATGTTAGGCATTAAATGAGTGATATGTAGTTTACAATTAGCAAGGTGATATGGTAAAAGCAAAGTATGGTTTACCATTAGAGCGGTTAGACATATATTGACACAATATATATTGCACAATTTGGACGGTGAGAAGAGAACTAGAGGTAGAACTAATGAAAATAGATCTCACCATAGAGTTGATTTCCAAATCACCCTTGAAAATTAAGAAACGACGAAGTTTCAGTCCGTCGTAAAACGGATATGAAAGACAATGGAAGAAAAATCAATAGAGGATGAGAGGGAGATGAAAGATGACTGAGGGAGATGGGAGAATAAGATGAAATGTCTTTCTCAGGACTTCGTCGAAAGACCGAGCCTGAAATCCACCTGTAAGATGCTTAGTCTTGATGTTAATTCTCCTTTTACTAATGTTCCCCTTTGATGATTATGTTCTTAGTCCTAGGCCCTCTTAGTCAGAAGGCAACTGAGAGCCTTCATCTCGCGCATCTTACTAACATTTTTCTCGAACTCATCAAACTCTGTGTGGACTTTCAACTCCTTCTCCTCTAGTGGAAAATACTTCTCTTAAACTTTCAGTGTGTCGCTATGGGTTCCCTCCCTCTTTCCCGATCTTGACAGTCTCTATAAGAAGAACTTTGAAACCGTTCTTCCCACTATCAATACTCGTTCCTCTCTCTGGCTTCACTATATTGATGACATTTTTTCTCTATGGCCTCATGATACTAGATTTTGTCCAGCCTTTCATATCTTAACACTCTGGCTCCTATCAATTTCTAAGCTGAATGAGAGTCTAATTTACTTTTTCTTTTCGTAGCTGTTTATGTTCAAAGCTCTGTATCTGGCTTCTTTTTCTTTGTTTTCTTTGTTTCAATGAGCCTATGCACAGTTGTATGTACATTCTCTTCTTTTCCTAGCATCTACCTTCTGTTAAGAAAAGTACTCTCGTCGCTAAAAGTATTCTGCTCCCTACGCATCAGTGACCCTCAGTTTCTTGATTTTGAAATTTCCTTTGTTTACAAGACTTTCTCTACTGTAAGACTTGGTTATTTACCTATTAAAATTTTCTTTCTTTCGAAACGTGTTTCCACACTAGTACCACTATGCTCTAACTTCCCTTCATATCTGAACTAAAGCATCTCGCTAATACCATTCGTCCTCTTGACATAAAGCTCACCTTTCAAGAAACTAACACACTTTGTAGTAATGTGGTCCACACTGCTACTCTTGCTTCTAATGCTGCTGGTGTCTACTCTATTTCCTGTTTGATTTGTCCTCTAGAAAACTTTGGTGAAACTGGCCGTACACAGAATGATAGCCTTAAGGAACAGTATGATGATTGTATAGATTGGTCTTAAATAATCATTATTGCCTCTACTCTTCACAGACGCCGTCTGCTCGAATCTGCTCTGATTCGCAACATGCCCAAAAAGAACCTTAGTCCTGGCTTTGTTGCTGTTGACTCTTCCCTTTCACAGTATATTTTTAAATGCTCTAAGATTCTTACCAGATGGGATCTGACTTAGTCTTGCAACCCCTCTAGGCTCTCTTTCCTCGCAGTCTCTTACCTCTCAATCTCTTTCCTCTCAGTCTCTTACCTCTCAGTCTCTTTCCTCTCAGTCTCTTTCCTCTCAGTCTCTTTCCTCTCAGTCTCTTTCCTCTCAGTCTCTTTCCTCTCAGTCTCTTTCCTCTCAGTCTCTTTCCTCTCAGTCTCTTTCCTCTCAGTCTCTTTCCTCTCAGTCTCTTTCCTCTCAGTCTCTTACC